ATGTATTTTGTTGGTAGCTGACAAAAAAGAGGTGTCGGATGCTCGGGATCATGTCACTGTTCCAAGACATACTCCTTTGGAATTGTTCGGAGAAGAAGGATTCCATTTCATTGAGGTTTCTCAATTCGATTCTAAATTTTGGTCCTTTATGTTACTCTGGTCATTGTTTCACCAATATGCACAGTTACGGTTTTCAGCCCTTTCTACCAATCGAAACTAAACAATACACGAAAGGAGAAGTCAGTAACATGTATCAGTATTACTACGATAAGAGGTGGCTTACAACCGAAAACGGTATGTTCCGAAGCAATTAAGGACATAAGAAAATTTTAGTTATTGATTTGTATTGTTTGTTAACTGCTGCTTTTCGCCACATCTCATAGCTAATAGCAACGAATATGGTAATCGGAAGGACTGCGGAAAAAGAAACAAATTGTCAAGATTGGCAATCATTGCAAGAACAACATTATCCTGTACCTTCTCTTCTCAGGACGGAATTTAATTCATAACTCATAATTTCCGGGTAGTTGCACTTCCACGGCATCGTTGCATGTTATCTTAGCTCTCACCATCACTTATCATAGCTCATGAGTGTGAGTGCTGAAGATCCGTTGATTTGATTCCCTCATCATGTATCTGAGGAAGGAGCGCCGCTTTACCTACTACACTATCGGTCATACGGCAGCATGAAACTCACTACTCACCATTAATACCCAAGCTCGAGTAATATTCGGGACCACAAGACAATGCTAAATCGGGGACGACATCGATTGTGGATGGATTACGCAGCGATTGAGTAATCTAGCAGTTTTGGAACACCACATGGTGCGTTCGAAGATAAACTGTCGGTAAGACTACAATCGCATCTATCGGCTCAGGAACAGGTACGGACAAAGACGGAAGCGAGGATCGAATAGTGTGTGACTGAGGAGAGGCAGACACAAGTCGTTCGGCCTTGACGTTGACGCGACGGGAAGTCTTCAGCGTCATCAATTCGCCACCAACCTCTGCCAGCCTGGCCATTTTAAAATATTGTACAGGTCTCAAGGTTTCTATCTGAGCGCCTTTCTCTGTCTCCATATTTTTAGAGAGTGCTTTTGTCGAGTTCAACGGTTTTCAGGGGGGGGGGGTAGTTTGCAGGCAGTGAAAAGTTCAGCCAACCTGACCACCTGGTTACTGAAGGTCATTGGCTTCACATTACATTCCATTCTCACCATCACTTTCAATTTCGAATTTCGCACTCTCACGCCGCCGCTCACTGATACTCCTTTGATGAATTGGTCGAGTGATCGTCGTCCTCCTCACCTCCACCGTAATCCTTCTTCTGTTCTCTACAAGGACCTTCAGAATGTGATTAACTTCTCCTGTTCGTTGGACTACGGCATAGTCAATGTTGTACAGTAATCTGTCTAGATTTTAGGAATTTTTTCGCTATCTTAAGATAAGGGGGCATTACGGTTGCAGTGCATCTTGAACTGCGTAAAAAACTTTTTTGTTGACAACGGATTTTATGGTAAACTTAAGGAGGGGGAGGAGAGGTCTTGGTGCGTGAGAAATCTTCATTTTTCCCAAATATCTACATACAGACTTAGACC